TTGAGCCCAGGAGTTTGAGTTCAACCTGGGCAACATAGCAAGATCCCATGTCTTAAAAAAAAAAATCTATTCCTTAAGGTATTATACACCTAAGCATTTAAATGACTCCATTCAGTATGCTGAGTTCAAAGATATTAGGTAGCCTTTTCATTTTCATTTTCCCTATTTTCTTCCAAATAAAATTAAGTAAGATGGCAAATGTGGTAAGTAAATATAAATGAAACAGATGAGTGAAAAATAGATTAGTGCACCAGACCTGCATTTGTGAAGCAATGACCTTCAAAACTGGCAGGGAGCTGTTAACAATGTTCTTCACAGGGGAGCAATTATACTACCACCCTCCCATGTATACTTTCATTTCAGGTTCTACAAATACATTTGCATATCAGAAAGAATGAAAGAAAATAGTCTGGTAACTGTGGCAACCTTCATTGAGAAGATATAAAGCATTTTCATTATCTTAATATCACATCCTAAATGCCAGATCAGTATTACTGCTGCATTATGAAAGGACAGACCGATACTTTGACAGAATTTCCTACAACTGATATTTACCAAATGTATCTATCATAACTTCAACCCAGTGATACATTTCTGATTCTGTAATACCCTAAATGGTCTCTGATTATCTCAAGAGGCACTAAAATATTTCTAAAATAGATAACCTTATTTAAACAAAAATATGACACACACCACTTTAAGGAAAAGGAGTTCAAATTATCATCAAAAAAATTTTTAAATATAAAGTACTGCAAATGCCTAAAATGTTGGGAATACTGCTTAACCTAATAAGAAGCTCACAGATGCTTTCTATACCGATTCAAAAGACTGTGCCCAGTGTTTGACAAATGAGCACATGCACACACACACACTACATAAATGTACAAGGGGAAAACTTGCTAAGAAAAGGTCAATTTCTAAATACTCAGAAAAGGCATATGCAAAAAAATGTTAATTTCATGTAAGAGATTGTCCTTTTTCTATATTTCCCCACATGGGTAAAAACAAAAGCAATTCACAATAGTGGCGCCAAAGAATGACAACATTACATACACTTTAGAAATCCTGTGTTTTTTAGATTCTATGTAAGAATCACAATGCACAATCATTAACATGTCTAAATAATGGACACTTACTATAGTGTGGCCATATTACACCCACATTAATTTTTAAAAAGTGGCATAGATTTTTTATAACATTAAATTGCAATAATATAAAATAAGAGCAGCATGAAAATAAATACAACCATAGTAGGATATAGCAAGCATAAATCCACTAAGTCCTGTTTAACTTAAAAACATTCTTTTCTCAACAGTAATAAAAACTACCCACAATTATAACACCAATCAACCAAACTCAAAGGTTCCACTAACTGGGAAAACATAACTGGATGCCTTATTGTGTGATACCTTAAAACCACAAGGTTATCAATCATTTCTAGTAGAATGGTGATGTGAATTGTGTTTCATTTGAATTTGTGTTTCACTTTACACCTTGGCAAAAGTTAATGATCTGCCCCAGAAATCTTATTTTACCATATACCCCAAAGTATTACTAGGACTCACAAAGTCTAAATCTCACACTGCTCTTCATATGCTCTTGTGTAAATGCTTTAAATTTTAAAACAAAAGCATAAAGACCTCAAAAGCTCTTGACAATGTATTAATATTTAAATGGTGAAGATGTCAATTCGAAGTTTTCTCCTATCCCACCAAAAGAAAAAAAAAAAACTGTACATGGCACAATGATACAATAGAAACAAAAAGCAGTATGCCACTCATTCAGTAAGGAAATAATACATAGCATCTCTCTATCATATTCAACTACAAAAATCCTTTCACTTGATGGCTAGCATCTTTATGACTGCTTAATCTGTATTTAAGTGACCTTAAAAAGAGATCTTGTGTTCTTTCTCTACCCTCATGGATCTTTGGCAGGAGTCAGCACTTATGCCCAGAGCTGGTTTGGGGGGGAGGGAGAAAAGGGAAAGTGGAGAGAAAGCTGAACTGAGCACGGAGTCAGCAGAGAGCAGCTGCTCTCATACACTACCCAGCGTCTTTCTCACACAACGCTATTTTCCGCTATTGAGCACTGTCAGCAAAAATAAATAAATAAGGGGGCGGGGGCAAGGAGACACTGAGACGGGTAGGACCCGGGCTGACAATTTTTGCCTGTCACATCAGAGCCGAGAAGCAGCCTCTGGTTTCATGCTGCAAAGGCAAGGGATCAGGTGAGACCCCTCCGAGTCCAACTCAATTTGCTTTTCCACAAAGAGCAGTTTCGGGCGGTAAAAGCGCAGGATCCTCCCAGCTGATGAACTGAAAACACCGGAGCATTGTCAATATTTTCAATCTCTGACTTTTTTATAAAGAAGGAGAGAGGGCTGTGACTGCATTCCCGGGAAAGACTACTACTCCTGACGTACCACACAGCGGTAGTGAAGGAACATAAGAGGTTGTAAAAATCCCTTCAAAAATACCAGGTTCTGAAATAAATGCTGTGCAGCATTATCGTATTGTTGGCGTTTTTGTAAGTCACCGATTCTTCCTGGCCACAGCCAACCCCCAAATCGCTGGGACTTGTTGATAAATCTTTATCTCACGGCCCCCAAAACTACCCAACACAATAAGGTTTGGGGATGGAAAGGCGGGAGGGGGCCCTAAATCTTTAAAGCCCAGAGGGCTGGGCTCCCTTCAATAGGCCACTCTGCATGGGCTGCGCGTTCAGTTCTACCTTCTGAAAGCTCTGACTCACAAATGCTGGGGGGGAAATTATGACATAAACCATTATCCTTCCAACCAAAGGGAGATAAGAAAAGCCAGCCAGACGTCCTTGCCCGGCCGGAGAGCCAAAGCCTGCGCCCCCCGACGGGGCGGCCAAGCTAGGAGCCTCCCGCCTGCCCGCCTCCCTCCGGACGCCCTCTGAAGGTGCTCCCCACCCGGGCGGGCTCGAGGAGCCAGGAAGGGGCGCCCTCACCCCGGGAGAGGGCAGGGGAGGTACTGAGGGTGCGGGACGAGGGGACTCGCCCCGCGGCGGCGCTGAGCACCGGGTGCCGGGTCCCCGGCAGGGGCTCCGGCGAAAGCGCCCTGCACCGGGGCGGTCCGCTGCAGGCAGAAACGGACAAAGCGCGGCGCTGGGGCTGGGGCGACCCCCGGGCGGCGGCCTCCGGCCAAGTTGGCTCGACTCTGGGGACTAGGGGGTCCCACGGGCGGGGCGGCGCAGCGCTGACCTGAATGGTGCAGGTGTACTCGCTGTCGTCCAGCAGCCGCACGGTGCAGCTGTACTCGCGCTCCAGGCTCCTGCTGCTGCCGCTCATCAACCTGCTCAGCATCTTCCCGCCCGCCCGGCCCCGAGAGCGACGCGGCGGCGCTGCGGACCCTGGACCAGGCGCCCCTCAGCCCGGCAGCTCCGCGCCGACCCCGGGCACCTGCACCATCACCCCGGCCCGGTAGCTGCCGCTGCCTCCTGCTGGCCCAGCTCCTCCTCCTTCTCCTCCTCCCTCTCAGCTGCCACCGCCTCCCCCCCAAGCCCAGAGCAAGCGCCGAGCTCCGTCTCCTCGGTGCCCCACTGCCCGTGCCCAGCTTGTGGGGCGGGGCCTCGGCCAGAGGGGGCCAATGGGGATCAGCGCGGCTGAACCGAGTGGCAGACGGAAGAGCCAATCGAGACAGGGTACTGGGATGATGGGCGGGTTGGGGAAGCAATCAAGGGAAAGCAGTCGAACCAAGCCAAGCCCGACCGGCCCTCCAGCGTCCCAAACGTGGAGCTCCTGGATGCTGTTTCCCCTCCCCTGGGCCAGGTGTGGGCACCCGGCTGGATTGATGTCTGCTGCCTTGAATGTATTTGAGCTCTATTTCAGGGGCCAAATCCCGCACCCTGCAACGCTGAGGCTCCAGTGCTCTTGCGAGCCGGGGCGGGGAGGCGACGGAGTGCAAGACCAAAATCCCTGCACCTGCAGAATGCGGGCACCTTTCGCTACAGACCAGGCGCTGCCCCCAACCTGTGCTGCATCCCAAGACTTCCCGGCGGGCCTCTGTACTCCAGCCTTCTTATTTGGAGGAACATCTGCTTTACAGGAGCTGGCTTAACTAAAAGCTGCGGGAACCGCAGAGGTTCTTAAGCACCCCTGTTTAACCCCTAAAAAACCCTGCATTCTAACACCCTTTGCCTCCGTCCTTTTATTTTCAGAAGACAAGAGGAGATTGAGGCATTTTCCTTCAGCGGATAGGAAGGAGAGGAAGCGATGGATGGGATATCTTTATTGCACCTTTAGAATTAGGATCATGTCTTAAGACTTCCTAAACAAAACACCACAGTATGTCAGGAGTTATACATCCCAAAGAAAAAAATTGTTTCCTTCTCTTTGTGACCCCACATCTAAAGATTTAAAGTTCTTTACCAAGACTTCATTAAGTTTAAGAGACATATATTCTCCCTGAAAAAATTTTGATAGAAGGAAATGTTATTTAAAAATCCTGTTAACACAGAACATAAATGCTGTAATAAATATATTAATTTAAAATAATGAAATATGCATACTTTCCTATTATTTTCATTTATACTGTTCTTGTTTATAGGTATATAACAAAACATATAACAAAAATGAAACCCTACATTAGCCTGGAAAAATATCCACCCTTTAAAGTATGCTTCTTCCCTAGTGTCTTTGGATTCCAACATTTTTCCCAATCTTTTTGCATGGGGAGATATTTCTCTTCCCCCCTCCATCCCCACCTTAGTAACCTGGATTGCTCTTCTTATTGGTTGCATTCTCCCTTGTATCATTTAATAGCCTTAGGAGGTTCCTCTTTTCAATGCAATTCGGATGGAGTTAGTTATAAGACTAGAACTAGAGTCAAGTGCAGGCTTGAGCTCCTCTACTTTGTAACCCCAGGAGGTAGTCTGATGCCTGAAGCATAATAGGTATTCAATAAATGCTGAACTGAAGTAAATGGAATTGATAGATATGCTACAGCATTTAAATCCCAGAGAAGAAAATCTGTGAAGAAACTCAGAATTTCAGGAAGGTCTAATATGCTAAAGTAATGTTCTGTAACATAAAGTTTAAATTTGTTATGTAGCTGGAAGAAGATTATGAAAAATTTCAAACAGGAAGAACTTTTTTTGAAGGCAAAAGTTGTTGTTTGTTATAGAATCCACAAGAGCAAAAAAAAAAAAAAAAAAATGTCCAAGAAGCTAGGGGAAGCCCATTGGTGTGATGGTTGGAAAGTATCTTTAACAGGTTATGCAAATAAGCAGCTGTTAGAATAAAAAGGCAAAGCACCATGAATCCAGAAAAGCTCTAAGGAACTGAATGCAGTCTTTTGTCCAAGTATGGCAGTAGATGCAATTAACAGGGATGAGATTGTGCTAGGCCAATGTGTTAAGTAGCATCCCTGCTCAACCTAAGAAAATCATGTCTGCTTAGACGCCCACTTCACTGAAAGACCAATTAGATATATATCTGTGCTTATGCATGATACCCAGAGACAGGTTCAAATTCTCCCTTCCTCTCTTATGTCAAACACTTTGTGAGGAAAAAAGAGGATGGAAAAATAATAGAAGAAAGCCAAGAATCTAGATGTAGACCTCTACAACAAGGCTCATGAGAAGCCATCTAAGGGTAACTAGAAAGAAAGGGCTCATACAAAACCAAACTGAGGAATATTTGGATTGTCTTTATTTTCCTCAAATCTGTTGAGCAGGATGCCCAGGATGCAAAGGATTTGTTTAATAAAAGGCCTCATGTGCCCTTGAGAACTAGAGTGTCATAGCTTTCATGTGTCTTTGTATATAAAGGAGGCCATATTTAAAATAAAAATCCAAATTATAATGGCTCTGAATGCCCACCTTCAAATTATCAGGATATCAGTCCCTTTTTAAATTTCTCTTCTTTATCTACTATGAGGTAGTCCCCAGGAGAGGTACTATCTCCCACTTATGCCTGAAATAACTGAACAAAGTATTCTTCAGTTTGATTCCTATCTCTGCTCCAGATGTTCCATACCCTGCTGTTCTGGAATACTGATCTCTCGCTCTCTCTACCCATTGCAGCCTTCGCCATTGCCTTGGGTTTTAGCAGGAAGGAGCACTGCCCTCTCTTTACCAGGATGTGACAAACACAGGCCCTTCCCATCAAATTCTCCCCACAGCACAGCTGAGACCAGGCTGTAACTCCTAATGATATTCAGAAAGGAAGAATAATCCAAAGCGTTTGTAGGTACGATGTGGCTATTCTCAAAGCCCTTCTGGACTAGACACAGGCCTGCCTTACTGTCAAGCTTCCAGCCTGGTCCATGTGGCCACAGACAGCTTCCTCTCTGCAGCAAGAGTTTCCTTGACCATGTCTTGGGCATTTAGGCCCAATCACCAGAGAAAACAACCCTCCTCACCCAGGTTAGGGTCCACTTTTGAAGTCCCATTTTCTGTCCCACGTGCTACATCTTCCTAGCATGACTGATCATGGAAATCTACTCTTTTAGAGGAAACCTCACCCTCCATGCCCAGAGGATGACCTTGACCTCTGCTCCAACAGTCCAATAGGACAATCACATTAGAACATAATGGCCCAACATCAGCACATTTCTCACAAAGGTTGAGTTATTCAGTATTTACATGTAGGTCAAGGTAGAGCCTCATCAAAGCTAGTCCAGTCCCTTTGCATAATTATTGCTCCAGTAAGCAGTAAGAATCATGCCTGTCCTTGCTTTCCTGTATCCATTAGGTCTCAGCTTCTGTTCTCCAAAGAGCAAGGGCTCAAACAAGGACATTCATATCTCCACAGAAACAGCAAAATGTTGATGCATGTATGCTCTAAATCCACAGAGGAAAGAAACAGTTTTTTTGTTCTCTTCTGTATCAATGTCTGCAAAAGCCGTACTTCAGCTCCACACACAAAGATTTGCATATCTAAATGGCGGATTCTGCTTCTCAATCTAAAGCAGCAGTCTCCAACCTTTTTGGCACCGGGGACTACTTTCATGGAAGACACCAGGGGTGCGGGGGGGTGGTGAGCAATGGGGAATGGCTGTAAATACAGATGAAGCTTCACTCGCTAGCCTGCCGCTCATCTCCTGCTGTGCTGCCTGGTTCCTAACAGGCTACAGACCTGTACGGGTCCATAGCCGGGGGTTTGGGGACCACAAGTCTAAAGCATCTATGTTCAGGTTAATAGTTACTTTATAGTTTTCTAAGAGTAACAGATGCATACTTGTTTCAGGATGAATAAACAATTCATGTAGTTTTCCCAGTCTGCCCCTGAAGCAATATTCAAGTCTTCCCTTTTGAGACAGCTTTTCTACTTTCTACCTACCCTTAGGACTTCCAGTTTAGTCTACATTACACTTTGAAGTGTTTTTTTTAATATGGAAACACAAGCAGTACCTGGTTGTTTTTTTTTTTATTTCAAACTAAAAAACATTGACTGAGGATTTACTGTGTGTCAGGCACTATGACAACTTTCTAGGATACGTAAGACATAGCCCAAATATGACAAAGGAAATATTATAAATCAAGAAGTTCACCCAAAAAAAGTTCACAGTCTAGGAGAGAGTGTTAAATGTATGTACAATTAGCTATAATATAGTACATGGAGCATGAGTAAGGTACTACAGAACACCACAAATGGTACAATTATTTAATCTTAGGAGAGACAGTGAAGCCTTACAGAGAAAGCATTTGAGTTGTGTCCTGAGGAATAGTCTCTTGATCATGAAGAAGACAATGGAAGAGATGGATATGGGATGAGGAGTTATATTTAAGTAGAGAAAACAGCATGAGCAAAGACACAGAAGCACAAATGAGTATAGCATGTTCCAGAAACTGCAAGTACCCCTGTATGGATAGCCTGTGGGGTGCCTTAGCCAGAAAGAGATGGACTGAGGCCAGACTAAACAGTACCTTCAGTGCCATGCTTAGGAATTTGGACTCTATCGCACGGTCAGTAGGCAGTCATTGGAAGTTTTTAAATAAAGAAGTGACAGGATCAGATCTGTATTTGGAAATGATCATTTTGATGGCAGTGTAAAGGATTAAATTAGAGTACAAAGAAATCATTTAGTGAGGGAAAATGGATTCTGAAAACAATAGAATATCTTTAATGAGGCATCAGAAGTAGTTATAATAAGTCTCTCAGATTTGGGTGACAGGCATTATTATATTTTCCAATTAGGGCTTATTTTTCTTATATTTCCAGCTAGTTTTCAGCCATTATTCTAGCAACAAAATGTATATAAAACAACGCAAATTAATTCATTGATTCAAAAAAATTTATTTATGGTCTACTATGTGCAAGGTGCTGAGAGCACCTATGCCAGCCAGGTGCTGAGAGCACTCAAAGATAAATAAAACACATTCCCAATCTGCATAAAACTCACAGTCACATGCAACCTGCAAAATAACTTCAACAACATTTATTAAGTATTCAGTTTATATAGATTAATATTTAGTATACATTGGTTTTAAAAAAAGGTATGAAGGGAAAAGGCCAAGAAAATATACAAACAAGAGGAAATCAGAACAGCCCATGTTTCCTTTTTTTCTTTTTCTTTTTTTTATTTTTTTTTAATTTTTGAAAT